TAATAGTAACAGATAGTATAAGAAAAAATAATTTTAGATGATACTAGAAGGTACATTAAAATAAAACACTTCAAATGTAACAGTCCCTTTAAAAATTATGAATCAAAACCAATTCAATATTAGGGATGTACAAAAAATACAATAATAACTGACTAATGTATAATTGAAACAAATATAGAAAAAATATATATAGTTCTCTATTTAAATATAAAAAAGTTTATCAGAAGAGCCCAATTAATGGAAATTTCAAGTTTCAAAGAAGCATTGAAAGAAATAATATATAGAATAATATATAGTAATCAAATAATCATTTCAAATGAAAAAGTATTACAAATCAAGTAAAAAATTGGAAAGAAAACATTATCAAAAATTATATAACATAAGATGTTTATCAATCGAAATACTGTACTTAAGCATGACAAAAAAAAAAAAGAATCAATGACCTTATATTCAAATGAATCCTTTATAAATTATGGAATATAAGTATAAAGATAGGGGTAGCATAGATATAAATAGAAGAAGAAGGAAAAAAAAAACAAGTTTTAAACTAGAGTAGTTAATTAACTTTATACATTAGAACTGAATTAGTAGCAATAATAACTATACTATTAGTAACTTTAATAGATAGCAAGATCAAGATTCATACAGTTAGTCAAGTCTGCATCTCAAAGTGAAAAATTATAGAAAAGGTGGATCCTAAAATAACCTACAAAAAATGGTTAAAAGAATAAAACTGATTTTTATGGATACGAATATTGGATCTTATAAAGAAAAAGAATCTAAATCTTAAGCTTATCAAGGTTAAGGTACATTTTAACATTCAGTACAATAAAGAATCAAATACCTTTGTCAAAGAAATACTAAAGTTCTCAGTAATAAATAGAAAAATCTTGTCTTACTTAAGATTATCATTAAAATTAAATGGCAAGATATAGTGTTAAATACTTCTATAAGACAAGTTATTAAAAAACAAATAACAAAGTAATAGTTTATTAATGGACAACTCAGGTAAAACCAAAGATAGATACCTAAAGGGGAGACAGGGATAAAAGACAAATGTTCCTTATTAGAAACATTAAAATTTTTAAATTAATAATTATAAAAAAACTATTTACAATTGTTCTTCATTATTCAAATTATTGATTTATAATATTTCTTGTCTTTTGTTTCTATTAAAGTGAAGAACTATAAATTTTGTTTCTCAAAAAAAAAAAAACATAAGTGATCTGTAAAATTTTATATACTGAATATTTTAGGGACTCATCATCAAGAAAATATGGAATCAGCAAATTCAAGATTAGTATAGATACTGTATATATGAAATCTAGTATGGGAATATCTAAAGAATAGACATATATGGAATACTACCTCTAAGCGCTTACAAGACAAAAACTTTCTTGTCAAGTTGATTAATGATGAGCTATCAATATTAACCAAGCTGATTATAAAAAGATCAAATCTTTATAAGCAAGTGAAATATATTTTATGTGATCAGGAAGAAAAACAATAGAACACTTGTTAAAATGCACAACTTATAAAATTCAGTGAAACAAGGCATGGTAAAAAAAAATAGAAGGTGTATTGTAAGAATTCAAAAACTTTTGAAAGATAGAAAAAGAAATTAGAAGAGAAAGAGCCAAAATTAATGATAGATAATAGGATGAAAATAGGAGAGATTAATAAATAGATAGTGAAACTGGTGAAAAGAATCTTAGAAATTAATTAAAAATATACTCAGTTTCTATATAGAATTAATAGAAGAAAATCTAATTATAAGAATAGTTGATTTGAAGTATTGCAGTAAAACAACTGAGAAAGAGGCAAGAAAATGAATAATAAAAATGTAAAAAAAAAATATGTAACCACTTTAGAAAGAAGATACAGAATACTAGATGTAAAAGATGATTGAGTAGAAACAGATATCAGAAATCTATAAATGTGATAAAATGAAAAGATAAATATATTTATAGGACCAATAAAGTAAGATCAAGCATATAGAAAATCTATCTATTAAAAATTAATATATAAAAAGAAAAGAATTAAGCAAGAAATTGAAAGAAATTTTACTAAATAGTGTAAAGTAATCTGCAATAATAACTTACAGGCAATATTAGAAGTTGGAAAAGTCTTTACTTGAACTACTAATAAAGTAATAAATTACTTCTGAAGTTATATTTAGAGAGATAGTATATTCAAGATAAATAAATTAGTTAGAAATTTGATTTTAGCATCTTATTTTATATGTATAGTTTATAAATATTTAATAAAGTATATATAATTAATATGATAGAGGATTAAAAAAAAAAAATTATAAATATAATTTCAATTTAGAAAGATTCATATATAAGTTTATCAATTTTTTTTGTTTTATTATTAATAAAATTTTTAATAAATAGTTTCGATAAATAGTTATAAAATATTTAATAAATGATTTTAATAAATAAATAGTTGATGAATTATTAATAAACTATTATCAAATTATTAATAATTTATTATCAAATTTTTGACAAATTGTTAATAAAATTTTTGATAAATTTCTAATAACTTTTAAAGAATAAGTTTGAAATATTATATACAGTATAATGTCGTTTAAGAAAGCGTATTCTTTTTTGACAAAAAATTCAAACGCATGTTTTTGTAATGAGTTATATCAAATAATCAATAAAAAAACTTTAATATTAGAACTTAACTATAGATATGCAGTACTATATGAGTGATGATATAAAAGATTAAACATTTTATTTTGTAGAAATTGTGTAAACGCGGAAATCGCCGTGCCTATTACCAAATTAATTTTGTATCTGTCTAGTCTCTGTTATCGCAAAACGTATGTTACCCCATAACTTAAGCGTACTTATCGATATATTTTCATTACTTTCTTATAACTTCAAATAATTCATAATCTTTAATATGAAAAGTTCCAGCTTTTGTTATCGGAATTTCATAGAAATGATTATTATGATACAAACCCTGTTTTAAATTAGGTGACAGTATATAGAATTCAACGTTACCAAATAATGGGCCGTATGAAGTTTGATGATTAACTGGTCGGTTGTAGACATCCTGATTTGCATTTACAACTCGACTAAGCTTTGATGTTTGTATGCTACCATTTTTCAGGGAAAAAATAAAAGTCTCACTTGATCCCATAAAAGATCCACCGGTCGTTTTATTCCACATCAAAGGAATGTATCCACCAATGATATCGTCAGTTCCCTCCACCTTCACAACGAGCACGGTATTCCTATGACCGTGACTCTTGTTCCAAAAAGTTATAGGTTCGAATCCATCGCGGCTTCCTCTCAATATCAATTGAAAGTTATATGGAACATCTGGTAAGGGATATGTCGTTGGCCTGTGATCAATCCAAGACGAAATTTCTGCAACATGCTCGTCGCTAATGATAGCCCCGCTTGGCAAAACCACTGATCTTGCAGGCAGTCCTGATACCACCACTGATCTTGCAGGCAATATAATAGACTTAATAGGTTCATCAGGAATAGCTAGTTTCCTCATTATATCTTTCCAAAGTTGTTTTTCGAAAATTTTTTTATACGGTTCTAATTTGTCAAATACATCTTTACCAGATAATTGAAAGTAACGGACATGCGGTAAACAATTTTGAAGTGTCATTTTTAGACTCTTAAAATCTTCCTTTGACCATTCTTCGAGCTTTGAGGGTAGATTGGAATTTTGGGCAATTCCCCATTGAATCACTTTGTCCCAAACCTTTATTTCCTCCAACTGTAAGTCATCTCTTTTAAGAAGGGAAATTAGCGCCGATTCTTTAATAGAAGTAAATTCCTCTGCATCAAATAGAATATTTGGGTATTTCGACAGGATGTTGTTACAGAAATTCTCCAAATTTTTAAATTGGCCATCCTTATCAAAGATTAAAGGGTATACAAGGGAAAAGTATGTGCGTAACCAGGAAGCTTTGTTTTCAATAAGATGAACTTCCAATTTTTCAGATAGTTCCTTAAATTCGAACTCATCAGCGACCATCATTAAGTCAAAAATAAATCTATTATCGGCATTTTCCAAATCACAGACCCCACCATATGCATATCTGTAAAAATACAAGGTCATTACAATTTAGATTGCGCATACATTATAATCATTTATTATTTACACACACATACCTGAGAATTGTTTCGAAAATTTTGGCGGAAATATTAGGTAAGTGAATAGTCCTAACGCGATTTTCATTTACAACGGCTTTGGTCAGTTCCTTACAAATGTAAGGTGACCGATAACGTAGCACCGCCGCGTGTGCAGTAAATGATTTCTTGTTCGATCCTTCATCAACTTCGATGATGACATTGTAATCTTCTTTGTCATCGAGTAGTTTGGTAAAATCGTTTGATAATTTTTCCAAAAATTTGAAAGACATCCTGTTTGGTGCAATGAAACCAAGTTTACTTCACACACCTGTATGCATGTCGTACGGATTAAAGATCATGACCAAAGTTGATTGGTCAAAAAATTAACATATAATCGGTCAACTATATGTACTGACAGCTGCGCGTATTTTTTCCTTCGCATTATTATAAAATCAGTGTAAAGAAATAGAGTAATCAATAGTTATGCAAGAGCGCCATTAACACAATGATCTCAACAATGGAATGCCTGCCATTCACAAGAAAAAGTGAATTTCATATTAGCTTTAATAATTTGCCGGAGAACCTTGAGGTCGTTCTTTAATAAACAGCGTAATCCATCATTCTTCTATTGTACATACTGTATCTGATATTAAAAACAAATGTATTTTAATTCGGAAAGGATATTCTCGGATGCAATTCTACTTCTGTAGCCAGATTTGTAAATACATCACGTGCTAGTGATCAACGATTCCAGTATTAATTTTCAACACGCATCACTATTGTTGTTAGCCTTTCTTCTCGTGGCAACATCTCAAGAATCTATTGTTACAAATCACCAATAGCCATCAACTTGATAACAGCTAAATGTCGAGATTCCAGATTACAAGTTCTCCTTCAATGGCATCATTCACAAATTCAATTCCAATCCCTTCATTGAACCCATCTATTTCCACCACCTCTTCGGAATTCTTAAACACTTTATCGAATGATCTTTCATGGTTACTCGACAACACCGAAGATTGTGATGTCATATTGCAAGTTGGTCAAGAACCGAACATCCGTAAATTTTATGCACATATTGCATTGTTAAGAGCCAGATCAAGTTATTTTAGGCTGGCACTGTCAAAGGAGTGGGCAAAACGTGAAGAGGATGGTCTGGTATTATTTCACAAACCTAATATCTATCCGGAAATTTTCGAAGAAATTTTAAAGTGTGTATATCGGAAGTCCCTTTCGTTGGATGATTTTGGTTAGACGCAGTTTATTAACAATTAACATTTCATTTCATTTTCCTATTCCTATGACCGCACTTACCAGGTACATATATAAAGGAACGGTAGACCTTGATGAACAGAATGGTCGGAATTTGCTAAATCTCCTGACAGCAGGCGATGAATTAATGTTAGATCAATTTTGCAGTTACATTCAGGCTTTCCTAATAGAACGAAAATTTGAGTGGCTTGAAGAAAATCTTGTGGACGTTCTCCGAACTACTCAAAATTACAATAATTGCACCGCATTAAGGGAGCATTGCCTTGAGCTAATTGCTGAAAGACCTGCTTCGATTTTTAGATCAGAGGGGTTCGTATCTTTGGACAAAGAATTGCTAATCTCTCTGTTGAAACGAGATGATTTGGAGATGGACGAGGTTGAAATCTGGAATTACGTTGTCAAATGGGGAATATCAAATACCCCTGACCTATTGGAATTGGATAAAGAAAAGTGGACGGAAGAGAATTACGAAGCTCTGAGTGATACTCTAAGTCAATACATCCCGTTGATCAGATTTTTTGACATTTCGTCGTCAGATTTTTATGATTGGGTCAGACCTTATGATAAGATTCTGCCGAAAGATTTGAATGAAGATATAGTCAGATATCATTTTAAGCCCGGCAGCATACCACATTCAATAGTACTTCCGCCGAGAGATCAAGGAATGAATTTGGATTCCTTAATAATCAAACCCATCCACGCAAGACTAATCTGTGGGTGGATAGACGGCAAAGATATATTGGGCCCGACTTATGTTAAAGCAACTTACGATTTTAGATTGCTGGTGAGGGGTACCCGGGATGGATTTGACGCTACCACGTTTCACACGAGATGCGACAGGAAAGGTGCCACGGTGGTGGTTATGAAATTGGAAGGTTCGGGGGAAATATTGGGCGGATATAATGCAGCATATTGGAGAACAGGTGCAGTGTACATTCAATCAGACAAAAGTTTTATATTCTCATTGCGTGACGGAAAGAATTTGCAAGAGGTACGGTTGAGTAGGGTCAAGGATTCTTCGTCGGCGATGTATGGCCATACGTCATACGGACCACATTTCGGAACTGCGGATTTGAGAATGTACTCATTGTTTAATAATAGTGAAAATTGTAGTTGCCAGCAAGCAAGTTATTATAAGTCAATTACAGAGCAGGTCAGGTTTGCCGCTGAGGAATACGAGGTGTTTCAGGTCGTTCAAAAATAAGATATGTGGTAAATAAGGAATGTGGCCGTCTTAATCTCGGCGAATCATTTCATTTTACGATATGTACATTCAAAATTTTATAGATCAATCACATAATTGCGTAGAAATAGAGTATGATGGTGTGGTTCTTATTCTTTGTTTGTTTATAAAGAGTTGTAAAAATGTTTGAATTGAGAAGAGGTCACGTATTTATGGATTGGGGGGGTTTTTTTTTGAAAAGTATTACGCTAATAAATTAGGATTTTACAATAAACTACTCTGTTATGGTGACGTCAGTATTTCTGAAATGTTGCGCTACCGAGAAGAAACAGCAAATATCATTAATTGTTCACGTGATATCAATTAATATCTTACGTAAAACAATTCTTGGCTTTAATAAAATTTCGAGCATTTTTAGTTACTTTGGAAATATCATAACAATAAATTGTTTTTTATACGACTGAAGAAAAAACGAATTTCTATTTATTACGGTGTGGAAAAATAAAAAACGCCCCTAGAGGGATTTGAACCCTCGGCCTCCAGCTAACTCCAACACCGGAGACTGGCGATCTAGCCACTGATCTATAGGAGCGAGACCTAGTTAATAATTTGTTCAAAATTGATAGTGGTTTTATTTTTTCTCCGAGTCCATATCGACGTATTCATCCGTGATTTCATCAAGTGGACGTGCGTTTGAATAATTTTCAGTGAGTAATCCTTTCTAGAGTGCAGATTTCACGGATTGTGATCTTTCTTTAATGTCACGTCACGAATAATAAAAATATGTATTTATAGATGCATTTTTTTTTCTTTCAAATCTTACTAAGCAAACGTTATATAGATTAAAATCACAGATTATAACAACATTGTTTTAATGATGATTTTTTTTTATAGATTAGACACTGTAAGTGAAGTAAATGACAAAAAAAAAGTCGTTAAAGATTGTCTTTTGTTTTTTCTTACAATTTTGCTGTTAAATTAATGGTGTAAAGTAAACATTCAGTTTTAGATTTCGAAAGCACCTATATCATAACATTATTGAATTTGGATTTAAAAGAAAAAAACAATATTAAATTTTTAAAAAAATCTTTAGATTATTATTTTATGAAATAAAATATAAAGTAAACAATTTCATATAAAATTATTTACTGTAAAGCTATAATCGATTTTAGTAAAAAATTTTTCTTTTAATTATTTTTCATAATATTGAAAAAAATAAAAAATTATACTAAAATAATAATAATGATAATAATTATATAAAATTATGCAAATATATTTTTAAAAAAAAAAAAGGAAAAGAAATATAAAAAATTTTAATATTCATTGATAAATTTGATACCTTTTGAAAATTTTTTTCAATATATTGATATTTTTATTGAAATATTTTTCTTCATAATTTATTAAAAGTTCATCACAAAATTATTTATTAACAATTCAATAAAAATTTGACATTAATTTATTAATAGTTCGTCAAAAATTTGTCAACTATTCATTAAAAATTCAGCAACTATTTATCAAAACTATTTATTAAAAATTTATTAATGATTTGTTAAAAAACTAGCAACTATTCATTAAATTATTCATTAAAGGTTCATTAACTATTCATTAAAAATTTAACAACTATTCATTAGCAATAAAGTAAAAAAATCAATAAACTTATGCACAAATTTTTTTGAATTGAAGTTATATTTGTAAATTATGAATAATAAAAATTATAATATAATATATAATATGTCATTTATATTGCTATTTTTTTTTTTTTTTTTTACCCTTTGTCAGGTTAGTTAAGTATGCTTTATTAAACATTTGTAAGCTGTACATATTAAATGAAGCACTAAAGCTAAATCTCT